TCGATGTTCACTTGATCTGCTTTCAAACATGTTTAAGTCTTTTTCCATAGGCTCTTGTTTAAAAGGAGTACATTTGTGCTCTGTGGGTTTAAGGCATTAATATTGTGTGTAGTTCATATGGCTGCTGAAATAAGAGACTATTAAGTGGTGTTATTCTTGAGAAATGGGAATTAAGAAGTAGGAGGCAGCATGTCTCTGGGGGGGAGGGAGGATGGTGAGAAGGGGTCTGGTGGGAGTGTGGGTACAACCATGTGGAAGTGCAGTCACTTTGATACTTTGTTTCCCTCTGAAGTTTGTTTCCTTCTGTAAAATTTTGACACCTCTATGAAATACAAAAAAAAACCAACCTGATACTGTGAGCAAAAGCATGATATTTATTGTTCTTTGCTTTATAATTATCTATCTTCTCTTATTTAAAATTATTTTCCCCTACAGGGAGGTGCGATCTAGTGTGATTTGCCTTTGCTAAGTGTCATATAAAGCATAGAGTGAGATTGTATTAGTGAAAGTGTATAGTGAGACTTAATACAGGGATGCAAAAAATAGACAATTTTGACACCCTTTTAACTAAAGGGGAACTTGATCTATTGAAGGAAACAATCCTGGTGTATATATTGAGGACAGAGAGAGAATGAAAGGGTGTACATAAGTGAAGAAGAAAAGCCACTATTTCAATATTTTCTTTCTCCCACCACCAGCTTCCTAAGATGTATTTAGTATTGTTTCATATGTGTGGAGGGTTCTTGTGGGTTGGGAGCACTGTGTCCCTGTGCATGTTTGTTCTGTGTATTGATGTAAGAGAGGTGATCCCCTTCAGAGATCACTAAAATGGCTTTTAGTAAATTATCCATCTTTATGGCACTTTGCCCTTTCTGTCTCTGCACACACGTGTAGCACAAATATGCTGCTTTCCTGGTGAAGGGGCACAATGGTGGCCGCTTATTTTACTTGCTTTCAGTGTTGCAGAGATATTTTTGTCCCCCAAATACAAAGCCCCAGAGGAAATATGTTGGCATATGGTAGTCAGCAGTGGCTTAAAGTAACTGAATCCTGTTACATGGATAGTACCTGAAAAGAAGGATCAGAATGTGTGCAATTCCTCTTAAGGAAAGTAAATGATTGCCAAACAATTGCTTTTGGACTAAGCTTGTACAGAAACCAGAGAAGTCTCTTTTCTTCTTACCCAAAACACTTTTTATTTGGTACCTTTGGAAAAGAGAAATGAGTGGGAATACCTGTTTACATGCTGTGAACATAAGTAGCTTTCCAAAACCTTAGTGTGATAAAGAACACAGACCTAATTTGCCCAAACTTTTTTTTCAGTTGACATCTATTTGCAATGCCTATTTAGAATGGGAGAAATGAATTAAGAAATCTGCTTAAACTGAAAAAAGTGCGTGCACAAGGCTTATGTGAGTCACATTGATGAGAGGTGCTGGCAGGGTTTTACTAAGACTTTAAGACTAGATGGGCTAAATATTAAATGAAACTACTGTAATAAAATACCTTCATGGGATGAGAAAGGACTGTTTTTTGTTTTACCCACTTGGTGCGAGTGCAGGTAGTCATAAAATAACAACATTTGAGGCTATTTCAAAGCCGAACATAACAAAACCCTCTGCAGGGTTCTGCTGCTTGGGATAAAAAAGCTATAGGATCTTTGCATATTCCTGCCTTGCTGAAGAAAGCAGGGTCATGAGGAAGATGGAAAGCATCCTGAGAGAGCTAACTGCCTGAGATGGGCGTGTGTTTCCAGGAAGTTCTCTATAATTTTCTCTTCCTTTCCCCACCTGTTGTGTGGAGTTTTGACCCTGTGCTAAAGAGTGCTTGCCGAAGTCAGAACACAACCTCGTGGAAGCTGCTGCTGTTAAATTCAGACAGGATTAATCAGCTTCGTCCCTTACCCTTTGCATTTGGTTTGGGATTTTTCTTGAGGAGTTTGAGAGCTGGTTTTCTGCGGGCTCTCACGCAGGCAGCAGAGAGGGTGTCTGCGAAAGGACTGGAATCACTGGCGCTGCCCTGCCCGGGAGAGCGGCAGGAGCGATCTCGGAGCAGGAGCCGCATCCGCGCGTCCCGGCAGCGCGTGGGAGATGGTCGCTCTCTGTCGGCGCGCCGCCCGCTCTGCTCCTCTGCTCCATTTCTAGCTGTCCCTCTGTGTGTAGAGAGGGAAAGAGGTACAGGCTTTGTGGACTTGTATGCATTCTTAAGGAATATATTAGGACTTCTTAGACAGGGACTAATAGCAAATGAAATGGCAAAATCTCAAATGTGTCCATGATCTTCCATGCTGGTTCTGTGTGACTCCTCTATTGGCCATGCAAAGCTTTATTCAATTATATTTTTTCCCCCATGGTGAACTGTGATACAAAAATAATGAAAAAAAAATTCACATGCATCAGTAAACATCAGATTTCAAACTTGTGCACTAGGTGACAAGTTAAAATTACTTGCAGCCAAGAAACTGATGAAGGTACAAATAGCTCTGAATTAAATGGTGTGTTTATAGCTACTCTTGTACTTTTGAAGTGACCTTTCAGTTTTGTACAATAGGTGTCTCACTATTGCCATAAATTGAAGTGCACAACAGGACTGTACCTGTTTTGTACTTAGCTTGCCATTTTCTTTTGCTGTTTGTGAATGTGGCAGGGGAACTAGTAATTTCAGGGTGACATTTCTTCCTTGCTCATCCTCTTTCCTTCTCCTTTTCAAAATGTTCAAGTTATTTCTGTGCTACAAATGTTGGCTGGCTAAAGTTTTGAATTGTATCAAACTTTTTCAGTCCCTTGAAGTCATAAGGGGAAGAAAAAACCCAATACCAAATCTTGTGCTAGTCCTCAGCATTAGATGATTAAAAGCACAGATTTTGGTTTTTTGGTCCATCTTTTAGGTGTTGAGCAGTAGAGAAGATGTAGTTTTTCCTTCTGAAATGAAATGTGAGCGGGTAGTTTTGTAAAACTTGTATAAGTGTTTCTGGAAAGGACTTCTCCCCTCCAGCCCCCTTCTGAACAGTGGATATACCCTGTTCAGTGGGAGCATTGGTGGCCAAACTTGGGTGTGGGGCTGGGGTGAGATCTGCTATTGGTATGGGGGCTGTTGGGCTCAGATCCTTCTGTGAATGGCTGTATGAAACTCATGAATTTAAATTTGAATCTACAAGTGTGAGAGAGTAATGGCACAACATGGTGTGAAGCACATTGAATAGTGTATTGGCTGCCAATTTTGTGGTTTGGGGTTTTGCTGTATTAAAATTTCCCAGTATTTTTAATATGTATGAATTGCATGAACATCTCCTTTTATGTTCTACCTCAGGACCCAGCTTCCAAGTTTCAGGTTGCTCTGTGAGATTATTTTGATGTTTCAGAGCAGTGTATCACTACTTTAGTTTTTCAGCAATATCACTAGCCGAAATGATGGTCTGAGGGTAACTTTGCAGGCTTCAAGGAAATATTCTGCTCTCCCTATTACAGTGAAGCAGCTCCTGACTTTCCCTGCTTTATCAAAAATGAAACCTGAACAGGGTTGTGTGTGGTTTGGGTTTTCGTTCTCCCTTCCTTGCCTATTTATATGATCAAATGCTGAAATCTGCTCCTACTTGCTTGAGAGGGAGTGAAAACAGCTGAGAAATTCTACAAAACTAAGACCTGTTTCTGTTTTCTGGCCAAATCATATTTTTTGCTGGATCTATGGTTGCTGTAGTGTTGGGGATGACACCTCCACATGAGGAGCAGTTTGGGCAAGTGGCTTTGTGCTGTAACCTCTGCTTGTGCCTTGAACAAAGCCTGTTGGGAAGAGCATTTTAAGATGTAAAACACTCACTGCAGGCCTGGGTAGGTGGTGGTGTTAGGGAAAGGAGTGTATTTTAAAAGGATTTGGGGGCGAAAAGGAAAGCTTTTGATTTTATTGCTAGACAGGAACATCTCAAAAACTTGTTTTGCTTGAAGACTTCACCGGCTTATATAAATTTAATTGGTATAAAAAGTCCTTAAAATGTTAAGTATTTTTTTTTTTTCTGAGAGAGGCTGTTATTGCACAAATAAAGTGTGAGATAGAACTAAGTGTTTGAACACAAGACACTTACTGTACCTGCTTTGGTGTACCAAAATGTAGTTGCGACCTTCTGAGTCTTGACTGCTCTTTTGTCCCCTCTCCCTTCCTCAGAGCTCCCCAGGATGGTCAGGCTGACCCTAGTAGCTCGACATACCTGAGCAAAGCCGAAACTGTGTTAATCTACATTTTCTTGTAAATCCCAAGGGGTTTGTGGCATCTCTGGCATTTATTTGTTCTCTCACTTTGGGGGAAGGGAGGAGACAAAGGACTTGGCTGTGAAGGCAGCCAGCACACTGCCAGGCTTTGCAGTAACACTTCAAAGTGAATGTTTTGTTTACTAGATAAGTGAAAACTGCTGTAAATTTGGGTGAAGATACAATAAATTTACTGTTTCTTATCCTCTCCTCCCAATAAGGAATGAGGAATGTTAATAATGTAAATATTAGAAAATAATCCATCATTAGACTAATGAAAAGCTTAATATTAAAACAGGTATTTATTCAGATTTATATTCCTTACCTTGAACGATTCTAACATTGTGACATATCTTGGTGAACTTTAAAAAAACAAAATAACAAAAAACTCTTTAAGAGTGTAAAGGAGAACCCAGCACAAATACATGGGATTATCACGCCCATGTATAACAGGGAACTAGATACTGAAGGCCTTAAAGCTAAAATAGAAATACTCTTCAGGAAAAGTGGAGGCTTCATGAAATGTAACAGCTGTCAAATGTGTAACAAGTATTTCTGTAACAGTTCTTTGGACTTGAAATGGTTTTGACCTGACATTCCCCCCTCGGCGATCTGTTGGTTTTTTTGAATTCTGTATTTGGTTTTGCCCCTTTTAGTATGACAGATGCTTAAATGTATGACACTGCTATGTATAGTCTATATTGCAATAATATTTTCTCTGTTTTTTTTAAAAAACTATTTTCTTTAATTTATCTGCAGGAGTCGGAAGCTTCAGATCAGGAATATCCCGCCTCACTTGCAGTGGGAGGTAGGAAGTTACTTAAAAAAATTATTTTTGCTTAAAAACTATGTTTCTGTTTCTCTCTTTATCCACAGGACTTTTCCCCTTCCCCCACCTTTCCCTTGCTTTGCACACACCACCCATTCTGTTCTGGGGAAAAACCCTTTGGATGAGGGAACAATAGAGCCTTCTAAGCAATTCAGATAACTGCCTTCATTTCTGTTTTCCAAGTTAACCATAAAAAATGTTGAAATGGATTCCTTGGTGAATGCTGACTTCCTGATGCAGTCACTCTCTTTGACTGAAATCTCAGCTCATCTATTTTGGACCTTGCTGGTGTTTGGTGTATGAGTTCAGCAAACTTAATAAAAGTTCATCTTTAAAGTCCATTCTTTAAAAACTTGGTGAAAAACCTTTA